GGGACATGACAGGACGGGACGAGACAAGACTAATTGTATGTCCTATATTTGGTACGACTAGAACATGACAAGACAAAACTATTAAAATGACCATATTACCCCTAAATGTTGTTCAATGTTATTTTATATCATATAATGATTGTAAAATGACAACAAATCAATCAAAATATTGTCATTTTAAATTTAGTCCCATGTTGTTCCATCTTTTTTGGTGGAACAAAAAATATCAAGATTTGTCACACTAAAATTAAAAATAGTCTCACCTTGTCCCATGTTTTTTTTGTCTATAGCATGCCAAACATGAGACTATTTTTTTGTCTCGTCTTGTCCCATGTAGTCTACATACCAAACGCACCCTAAAAGGTCTTTTGCACAGCGGTATGTATCTTTGGCTTCTTATTGTATATAAATATTATATATATTTCAAAAAAATAGTATATAAAAATACATTTAGCAATATACAAAGGTGCAATTAATTTCTTCTCTTAATTAAATAATATAAAAAGTATATGTGACGACAAGAAAACGACTTACAGAAAAAATAAATAATATATATAATTCATTTTTTTATTTTTATGTACGTCGTCGTATTGAAATGGATTCTGACAAAAGAATTACTACATATAAATATTCTACATTTATTTTTTATATGTATTTAAATATTATAACACGACAGTAATTCAAGTTTAAAGGATGGTATGAGACTATACATAGGCAGGGACACGTGGTTATTAATCGCAGCACAAGACACTGACTCGTGGAGCCATCTGCATCGTCCACCTATCAAAGCGCTTTTGCCGCGTGTCGTACGTAAATGACGTCATTCACCGCTTCACCGGAGCGCAAAATTCCAAATATAGCCTTCGACTGGTTGGGACCCACATAAAGAAACTAATTTACCAAAATCGTCCATCGAAATTGGAATATAAATTATCATGCAAAATATCTACTCCTTTAATTCGAAATTTTTGCACTTTTAGTCCTTATTAAGAATTTTGACCGGTTATTCATCCATTTTGCGAGTTGAAACCGACCAATGAAACAAGAAAGCGTAATTATACTTCTTTTCATATTTTTTGAGTCATCGAGCCCGAGCTCGATGCTCATTTATGGGTTCGAATTCATGATTGATTAACACGTTTATAAACTTGAGCTCGATAATATCTATATCAGTCATATTTTTAACAGTTTTTATCTTGTCAAGAAGGTTTGTGATTCACATTGACTGTACATGAACATTTTGTCTACCCATTTCGATGCAAACATCGACAAATCATGATGTATGCCAATATGAGTTTTGAATTCGTAACACCCATATTGTGTCAGAAAAGACAGCTGTTTAAATATTTCAAAGATTTATGAGCCATTTACCAAACTTTTATCAGATGTCAGTTACCTTATTATATGGGAATGACAATGATCGAGAATTTTACTTGATAAGAGACATAGATAGAATCGAGAATATTACATAGTAAGTGAGAGAGAAGACTTTTAGAGACTGTTTGGCAGTTGCTGAATGGTTTGATGCAGAATGATTAAGTTGTCAGAATGATTAAGAGACTCTCATGATATAGTGCAAAATGAAATATAATTGTTTGGTAATTGTTTACAATGAAATTAAGGAGCTTAATGGTTAAGGGAAGCCCATGATTCAAAATCATTCAGAGGGTTTTAGAACCATTAAGAGACAATTTTTTTTTTTTACCAAACAAGATTCATCTTTCAACGATTTTGAGGCTGTCTCTTAATAAAACTATTAAGAGATAAACAAACAACCTCTTACATGATAAACACTTATCATCAATACATGTTGATGTTCGAGAATGTTACATGCTAAGGTAAGTGAATGTGGTGACTATTGTCAGTAAACGTTTGCCCGAAAGTGTTTGGTAAACGATACTGTTAATAACATTTTATCAGAGAGTATATTTTATGTTCAAAGTTTTTGTGAAATAGGATCATGGACTCATGGTTACTTAATTCAAGTGCTAAAATAACAAATAACATTCTGTAGGGACGAATATTGAATATCTGAATAAACTTCAAGGGTGATTCATGTAATTCAACGAACAGCTCCAAAAGAGTAAATTCCTGCAGAAAGCGAAAGCGGAACCTCCTCGAACGCAAGGACTATGGAGAGATATGTGGGACCCACGTGTAACAAACCCAAATTACATTTTCACCCCTTCTCTTTTTGAACCCAAACGACATCGTCTAGCATCGACTTCTGTGTACTCAAAAACTACTTTAACTAGTAGAAAATTACATCATTACCCCCCCCACTCTAATACACAGGTACAACCAGTCAAACAGACCCAACACCAAAGACTTGCTTCTTGCCAAATGACCAAACTACCCAATGGAAATAGTTTCCAATCTTGCCCTTGTGATGGAGAAATATTGGTGGATATTAGAAGGGGTAGAATGGTAAAGAAAAAGTCACGCAATTGTGGTTTTGCTTTTGAAAGGCAGACCATGCCACGAACGTGAAGCCGTCCGCTCAAATGGTCTTTTTCTCCGTATCACGAGGGCCGACGAACCCACGACCTCTATTAATCATTTTATTATTATTATTTAGGTATGTAATAATTATTAAAAATAAATAAAATATGATTTTATTTATAATTATATTTGAGAACAGATCAAATTTAATACATTAATTAACATATATTTGTTTCACAATATATTTATACAGTTCAGATTCATTGGAAAACGATAAATAAATGAAAAAAGACGAAAAAGCTGATGAAAAAGATATATATGAATATAAATGTCAAATTAACGAGAAAAAATATTATTGTTTTTTAATATAATTTATTTTGTTCATATTTCGTAGTTTTTCAATTTAAAAAATTGGATGTGAGAGATTTTTTATTTAAAATTAAAGTTGTAGCTGTAGATTTAATCACATCAATTGGATTAACGGTTGATGAAATGTTTTCCAGTTTTAAACTTTTTTGAAATTATCCCTTGAACCTCTTTTTCTCTTTAATATATGTATTCGGTTCACAATATAAAACTTTTTTGTTGTATTTTTTATTTTAAGTATATAAAAAATGTTTACAGTTTGCGTGAAATAAACACATAATAATCAAGACATCAATAAAAACCGTTGATGCAATTTTTTTTTATATAAAATGACAAATGATTTACCAGTTTTAACCTGGATATCCAACTCCGACTAATCACAAGGTGCAGACCTGCTTTGCGGGTGGCCAGGAGTCACCGTATTTGAATATACGTAGACACAAGGGGTTTTATTTATTTATTTTTGGATTTGAATCTGGAGTTCGAGACACTTTTGAACTTTGGAGCTCACACTCAAACCAATCAAACACCATCTTTGTGGTTAAAAATGATCAAGAGTTTTTGAATTCATCACAATTTTATAGGTTATCAAATAAAATCCGTCCTATATTTTTATTTGATTCTAATAATATTTTTGTTAATATTATATTAAATTTATAATATAAAATAAAACTTATTACTATTCTTCTATAACTTATTTAATGCAATTTCATAATTTTAAATATAATAACATATTTATTGTACGAGGTAAAAAAAGGTAAATAATAATTTTTATTTATTTATTAATATTCTTTTATTTTAGATTGAAGCTTTGAAAATTTGTCGGAATAAAAAATACCTTATCTATATTATATTATAAAATATTTGATAAAACTCTTACAAACCATTTTTAATGCATGAAGTACTATTTATTGATGCATATTACTTAAAATTTAAGATTATAAGTAAATTGTACATAAATACAACTTAATAAAGTTTCATTTTTGAATTCGTATAACTAACTGTAGATAAACATAATAAAATAGAATATAAACATCTCATTTTAAATATAAAAAATCTGAAAAATAATTATGATAATTTTTTATTTCTAACAAAATATTTAATTATTATTCTTATAAAAAATAAATTAAAATACACAAAAAAACAAAATAGTTAGTTTCGTATTAATATAAATATTTTTTTTCCAATTTCTTATGATATATTTATATTTATATTTTATTAAAAAAAATATTATTGTTTTCTCAAAACCACACAAAACCGTATCATAACATTAATAGAGACAAAAAAAAATGAAACATTAAAATCGAGATATATCTCGTTGTATTAAGTGAGTACCCTTCTATTAATTTTTAAAGGTACTCCTAGTTCTATTTTTAGAAATCCATTGAACATGCTTCAACAAAGGTAATAAACATTTGCAACTAACTACATTATTTTAAATTTTTATGAAAACTATGTTGCGATGACTATCTTAAATTCTTATTTAAAACACTAAAAAAAAAGAATATATGGAATTTTTTTTTTGAATTTTATAAAAAAGAGAAATTATAGAATAACTGTTAAAAAGAGGTTAATCATTTAAAAACTCCTAAATTTGTGATATCTGTGATAACTTATATATTAAGGTTTTGTTTTACATATTTTTTACATCTAAGTATAATGTCTGATATTGATGAGCAGATATATATTTTGTTACAATGTGAAATTTTTTTACATGTATATTTTATTAACATGTCAAAAATGTTCAATTTATCAGTCGAAATAAATATAAAATGAAAATATGTTTATCATTATATTAAATTATAATTATAAATAAAAAAATTATATAAAATAACACAAAAGGGTTTTTAAATATCTCAGATAAATAATTAATAAAATAAAATACCAGGACAAATTAAAAATAAAGAATATACTTAAAATATTCCATTTAAAATTTAAAAATATTTTTTTGAATTCAAAACATGCCATTTCCCCTAAAAACATGGGTAAATTAGTCATTTCAATTGAGTTGGGCCGTGAAAACTTGTGTGTGCATCCGGGATTATAACGGCCGTTATAACGGCGAACAGAAACATAGTGTGTGCTGCCACGTGTTCATCCACGTAGGCAAAACAATATCCACGTCAGCAGGCTAGACGAACCACTTATATATAGAATGCCTTAACCATGGACTCCTTTTGTTTTTTACCCCAAAGAAACCACAAAGCATTAAACCTCTTGAAAATTTTGTTGTTTTACTCCGATCGTCGCCTTTTTGGCCGTCGCCGGCGATTTCTGATTGTATAATTTTGAAATGATATCGCCGGAGATGGATATTCCGGCAGCCGTCCGTCGATTCCTGGATTTACGCAGCGGTGATGTGTTAATTTCTGTAGGTGACGTACTTACCTAGCCTAAAAACCTAACAGTAGCTGAAAACCCTACGCGAAAGCGAGCGTTACGTAGCAGAGATTAGAAGTTATTCCTTGTTTTGTTTCACAAATCGGTATTAAAATAAAGAATCCAATAAAATATATGTATTGTAATGCTAATCTATAAGATAAAGGAATCAGTTTTGCAGGTTTTTTGAAAGATATAGGAGGATTTCTTGGTTTTTGTGCCGATTGATTTGGTGATCCGATGATGAGAGACTAGTTCATGTGCTGTGTTTTTACTATTACAGCCATTGGAGTTTTGTTATGGATCTCTAGTATTGTTTTTGATCAGGTGTTATCGGAAAATTGAGGTTTTGCGATAACTAGTTTTTTAGGTTTTAGGGTTTTCTGATTTTCTTTCGTTTAATAAGAGAAAAAAAAAAATTGATAATCGAGGAAGAAGTTTTTGGTATGCCTTTGACGATGAAGATACAACCAATCGATTCAACCACACCGGAATGTTTTGAGCCGGTGAAGATTGTGCCAAAGTCTCGATTGAGACGTCTCTTCGACTTCTCTAGCTTTTTGAGAGGATCGGCGGTGGCGGATAGGTCCGTCGCCGGGGAACCGCAATGCGGCAAAGATTGTTCAGACGAATTCGAGCCGAGCTCCGTCTGTTTAGACAAAATGGTCCAGAATTTCATAGAAGAAAGCAACGAGAAGCAGTATGTTGCAACAGCGAACAAGTGTGGCCGGCATAACCACCAACAGTGCAATTGCGTTAACGGCACCAATTTCTGTAGCAGCGATGGTTCCGAAGATGAGTTTGACTCGTTCAATTGTTTTGGCAACTCTAACAACCACAGTTCGTCCACCGACTCGTGTGATCCTCTTAAGGTGATAATCCATTTTCCTTAGTCGTATATCGTTATCCGATGAAAATTATCTGCTTTGGAGAGTCTTAACATTTGTTGTTGGGTTGATTTTATTATACAGAGTTTGGTGCTTTGCGAAACAGTTTCTGAAAGGAATTTGTTGGCGGATGCTGCAAAAGTCGTGGATAAGAACAAGATCTGTAAACGGAAAGATGAAATCAGTCGGAAAATCGTTTCCGATGGCCTCTTAGCTACCGGATACGCTGTTTCTATCTGCAAGTCCCGTTGGGAAAAAACTTCGACATATCCAGCAGGTAAGCCAGAATTTCCCCAAATCCTTTAGTCACTTGATGATTCTTTTTGGTTTACAACTAATTTGGTCGATTTTTTACATCAATTTTCTGAAGTTACTATGTTTGAGAACATTTCTGGCTCCAATATTTGATTGTTCACATCAATTTTCTGAAATTAGTATGATGAAGAACATTTCTGTGTCTATTTTTATTTTTTTTAATTCACGATGGGTTTCAATCAAATTTTGATGGTTCGCAACTAATATGGTCTATTTTTGAAATATATCTTCTGAAATACTGTGCTGAAGAACATTTATGGCTCCGATCTCTGATTTTTCACGACGGGTTTGAAACTTTCAATCAAATTTTGATAACATTTTTGGGGATTTGGGTGTAAACAGGGGAATACGAGTATATTGATGCTCTAATTGAAGGGGATCGTTTGATAATCGACATAGACTTCCGATCAGAGTTCGAGATAGCAAGATCCACCAAAAGCTACAAAGCTGTTCTTCAAATGCTTCCTCATATCTTCGTGGGTAAAGCCGATCGTCTCCAGAAAATCATCAACATAGTTTCGGATGCTGCAAAACAGAGCTTAAAGAAGAAAGGAATGCCTTTGCCCCCATGGAGAAGAGCTGAATATGTTAAAGCCAAATGGCTATCTCCTTGCACTAGAATCATCATTACTCCCACGGATGATCAATCCCCCAATGAGAACCCAATCAAATCTGACCCTAAAGACCATATCTTGATGGAAGAATTCGAAGTGTTGGCAACTACAGATGAAGATCCATCCGCGGAAGCTTTTAAACAGTGGGAGCCATTGGAGATCAAACCCAAGGTACTAAAGACTGGAGGTAAAGTCATTAGTGGTCTAGCTTCTGTGATTGAAGGCAAATAATACTTACATATGAAAGAGGTTCGATTCGTCTAAAACCCATTTCAAAATGTGGTTTTCTTGATTTTCCATCTTTAAATCAAGAAAATGGAACCCACATAACAGAAATGTTGGATATGGGGATTATTTAGACTAACAGGACCCTAAAAGTTTTTGGTATTTTGACTTGCTTGTTTTTGGGTTTTTTAGTGTTTTTTCTGGTCTTTTTGGCACCGGAGAAGAAAAGAAAAAAAAAAAAGAATATATACTGGAGAAGATGAGATGGGTAGACTGAAGTCCCCTTGGTGTTTTTTTGGGTGTAAGGGTCCATCTTTACTAACTACTTTGGATATAATAATGATGAATAAATAATCAAATAAATTGAATATTCTATGGTTTTCAGTATTTCTACCTGATTCCCATGTTTTCTGTTACATTTTTGTATAAAAAGTGTTTCTGCTTGTGGGGTTTTCGGTTTTTATGCCGGTTTGTAATGTATAGCTGTATATCGACCTTAATCTTGAAGATCGATGCTTAGATCGAAGTAGAAGTGAGTTGCCATGGCCCATGTGTGCTAGATCGAAGATGGTTTTGCAAGATGACCCTCTAGTGTATATCTAAGTTTGAAACAAGGGTAGATGAGATGAAAGTCGGATCAGATGACGGTCATTGAGCGTATTCTTTCTTTAAAGGTCATGTTTTTTATCGGGAAAACTCTGTGTAGATTGTTGTTTGTTTGAGTTTATTCATTGATGAAATGAGTATGTTCTTTAACCGGGAGAGACAGGTTTTGAAAAACCTTGAATCTTGAAAATGAGCCATTACCAAACAATTATGTATAGCTTATTAAGCTGTTAACAAACCGGCAAAAGGATTTCCATGTGTATAGATCACACCTAATGCTTGTTGATGGTAGATCGGTGAAAAAACGAGTCTTTTTAATCTAAAACGAGTCTTTTTAATCTTGGGTTGATTATCAAGATTATCGAGCCTGAAAACGGAGTCGGGTTAATGAGTAGTTGGCAAAAGTTTGGATCTTGGTTTTTGGGTAAGGTTTTCTATTTGAATCTTGAAGGAATGGATAACAAAAAAAGGGGTCCCCATGTATTGAATATGTTGGTGATCTTGAATAGAGATGGCTACAAACTAATATGAGGCTAGATGTGGGGTGTTATTCTTGTGGTCCACCATCCCCTTCTTACCTAATTGGGATAGACTATTTCCATCTACTTATGGTTGGAAATTATCATTACCAAAACCAAAACAACCCGACGTGGTTTATCCCACTCGAAAGTAGGGGTTTCTTTGTTAGCAACTTAGTGAGCTTAATAACGTTCGAAGTTTATTTGGTTAACTATACATGATTGTTTGATAGTAACTTAATGATATAGATAGTAAGTTTCTAAGAAGAGCTTTATGCAGAAGTCAAGTTTCTTTCTGAACATGCTCCTTCTAATTAAAAAAAAAACACACTTGCTTCCGTCTATGAAGAAATCCTTCCAAAAAAAAAAAGTCTTTCAAATCTATACATATAAGATTAATCCATACAGATAGTTTAATCTATACAAAACAATGAAAAACCAATCAAACAACTCTTAAATAGAGTATGGGATGAGATGTACACAAATCTACATCTATATACATCTGAAGTAGAGTCCTTAGGTGACATGTACATAGTTATGACATTTGGGATGAAATGTACACAAATCTTGATTTGGGTGAGATGTATATAGATCTGAGCTATATCTTAGAAGTAACGTTATCATATGCGTAAATATACCATTTCCGAATCAATTGCATATACTTTAAGGGACATTGATATCATGTTTTTCTCTCCCTTAAACGAACAGGGTCTCTGCACCACTCTGTGTCGGATACGAGGATGTGTACATGGACTTCTCGTGGTGCATAAGTGGGTTTTCGGATCTGTTAATGAACACGTGAATTTTCGATACAGAGAGAAGCTGTGTTTTATAGATCACTTTGTGCAACTTTCTCGTGTTTGGTGGTTGGCAAAAGTTGTGGGTGGAGGAGTCATTGTCTAATGGTCTTGAGATCATGACATAGCAAAAAGTTATTTTTCTTGTAACCGTAGCCGTCGAGGCTAACTTGTGAGCACATTGACTAATCCTGTAGGGGTATCGGAGAACAACTAGAAACAAATACGAACTAATGATCTATAGAGAGTAGTTCTAGAGGTCCAAATCTTGTTGACAATCAAACAACCCTAGCAAAAAGATTAAATGCAAAAGTGATTATATCATTACAAAACAAAATAAATGAACCCATAAGAGCATCTTCAACAAACTTCGTGTTGCACTTGTTAAGTTTTGTGGTATGTCGTGGAAAACCTCATCTACCCCATATTTATATCCAGACGTTGCCAAAACCCTTGTGGTTGTGAAGGTTCAATTGTGATGACTCTCGTCTATACATAGTCGTTCAGGGGATTAGTTGGTGTGTACAAACTGATCTTAAAACTCATGGTTGCAAAAAAAAGGCATCCTTAATCTAACATTAAATTACATAATCGACGCAGAGTTGCAGCTCTCCTTGATAGCAAAGGTCTAAAGCTTCAAATGAAGCTTAAAACTTTAGTTTCATTTCGTGAAGTAAACCTCTGGTGTTTTCCAGTGATGTTTTAGTTACACTCTTTTTTATATTTTCCATATTTTGTTTTCTCATGTGATGTTATTATTATTTAAAATAGTCTGATTTATTTTATAAAATATATTTATTATTATACATTATCAGTAAATAATGTATATATGAAAAAGTAAATGAGTGAAAATTAAATTAATAATATAATAAGCTAATAAAATTTAAAAGATTATTATGACTTAATGAAAATTACAATATCTTATTATTACATATAAATTACATCACACAAGATATAATTAAAAAAAATTACTATAATTTTTTTTATTAACCTGGATATCCAACCCGCTATACGAGCCGACTAATCCCATGACGACCACCTGTTTTGTAGATAGCGCGGAGTCACCGTATTTGAATCTCGTTGGCTACAAGAGAATTTTTATTTCTCCTTAGATTTGACATCTGTGACCTCCTGGTACTTTTGACCCTTTGAGCCAAGATCAAACCAATCAGACACCACTTGTGGTTATTTATTATAAATTTTAATATCAATAAAAGGGAGAAGTGAAAAAAAATAAGAAAATAAAAAATTACCATCATATCCTTCTTTAATTATGAATGAAACATTAATCAAGGTTGATAGATTAAAGTGATTAAATAGTTGAAATTGATTCTTAAAATTATTAACATTTTTGTTATTCTCATTTGATTACCGTTTTTGACTTTAAATCCAACATCGATTCTTAGATCTAGAATCATGTTAGACCAATCTGTTTTCGCGAAACCATTTTTTTTACACTTAAAACTTCATGGCAAAAACTTGTGAAGGGAACCTTCACAGTATTTTTGCGGTAAAAGTTCAGTTTTTTTTACCTTCACAATGTTTTACCGCAAAATTTTAGTGTAAAAAAGTGATGCCACGGGTTTTATGAAAACAGACTGGTCTTCCATAAACCCAACCCTCGATTCTTATATTATACTGGTGTTGTAAATAATATGGTACCAAATTTGACGTTCTATTATTTATTTATGTCAATTAATGTTTGAACTATTTTTCGTATAAAATGGACTTTTTTACATTAATATTTATTAAAATTTAGCTTTTATAATTATAATTAATATTTTGGTTATTATGCTTAAACTAACTTATTATTATAAATTTTATTTTTGACGTATTAAATTTATTTAAGAAATTAATTATTTTTTAATTATTTAAACATAAAAATATCTTTAAATAAATAACTATTGAACATTCACATACATGTTACAATAAAATGATATATAAATATAAAATTGGGAAAAAAATAAATAAACGTACAAGAGTAAATTATATAATATAACATGAAAACGATTAAATCATGTGTGATTTTACACTAACGATTTGCGGGCGACATCGCATGCCACCTCAGTTCGCACTTAAAGTTGTGTGAATCAGATGTGACTTTATTGTTTTCTTATTATCTTATTTGATAGTAATTCTTGTATGAATCTAACTATATACATAGGGTCAGGTTTAACGAAAAATTGTAAAAAAATAATAGCTGAAACACTCTGGAAGATATATTTGTTTGGTATGCACACGTGCATAAAAACCAAAAAACAATTTTAATTACTTGTATACACATATGCATATCATTTAGATGAACGATTATCGAGGTGTTCCTCGGTTTTTGTTTTTAGGGGGGTTTCCCTGAACTTTCCTTTCTCTCTCTACATATACATGTATATATATATATAGGGTTAGATTCATATGAGACCAACATGTTTTCGTAAGATCCGTGGGACCACATTTTTACACTTGAAATTTTACAGTAAAACGTTGTGAAGGTAAAAAAAGCCAAACATTCGGAGCAAAAACACTGTGAAGGTTACCTTCACAGCGTTTTGGTATGAAGTTTCATGTGTAAAAAAGTGGTCTTACAATTCTCACGAAAATAAGTTGATCTCACATGATCCCACATGTGTGTGTGTGTGTGTATATATATATATATAGAGAGAGAGAGAGAGAGTTTTAAATGCAATCATCACATTTGTACAACTAATGCAACTCAATCAATTGATGTATTTATGGAAATGATGAAAGTTCATTTATTATGATTTGAATATTTATGGAAGATGAATAGAGTTTATTAATTATGATCAATATTTTATATTAAGAAACAATCAAAACTTTTATGAAATCACATATTCATCAAATTAAATGAATGATTAATATTAAATTGTATTAGTTGTACAAATGTAAAATATTACATAATAACTCATCTATAGAGGTTGGTTATTATACAACCCAATCTCAACCGTCCGTTTTATTTGATTAATATGTGATTCATAGAAGTTTTTATTGTTTCTTAATATAAAGTATCGATCATAATTAATGAACCATATTCATCTTTCATAAATATTCAAATCATAATAAATGAACTTTTATCATTTCTATAAATATCTCAATATATTGGGTTGTATTGGTTGTACAAATGCTATGACACAAACTTCTCATCTATATATATATATATATATATATATATATATATATGATTTAGATAAAAATAATAATTTATATTGGTCCAAATAAGTTAACTTTATTTTGTAGGGCTCCGAGTCCATGACCCTCACGTGCCACATGAATTCGGGGGTTACAACATCTATCGCTTTAATCGGTTCTCAAAAGCATACTCACGTGCTTAGCTCTCTTGTACTTTAATTATATATATATATATATATATATATATATATATACTATAAAAATAAATAATAATAATAATAATAACGTGATCTTAATCCACGTATTTGTGTTTCTCTCGTGCTTAACAAAATAATCTCTCCCTTTTATTATTATTATTTCTAAAAGTAATCTCTATAAAATATTATAAAAAAGCAAACTCGACATAAATTCCATCTTTTTTTATTACTTGGGTATTTAACTCGTTATGTGAACCGACTAAACTATGACGACCATCTGTTTTACGGTTAATCTGGAGTTACCGTATTTGAACCTCCGTGGTCACAAGAATATTTTTATTCCTCCTTGGATTTGAACCTTAGACCTCCAGGCACTTTTGACCTTTTGAGCCCAAGTTTAAACCAATCGAGTACTACTCTTATGGTTCATAATTTCTGTCTCTTTGACATATAAGGGTGAACACGATTTGGTTAATCGAGTTAAAAGCATTGGAATTTGAAGAATGAATGAGAGGGATGGTGAAATTCGCTAAATTTGAAAAACTCTCTAAAAATGATTTTTTTTTTAATTATTTTTATAAAAATCATTTTTATTAATAAGATTCCTGCAAATTAAACGTTTTATTTTATGAATTGTGTTTAAATTTTTAATAATATAATTATTATTATAATCTCCAAAATGAATAAACTGTTAAATATGAAACCAAATTATCATTTTTTTATAGAGATTTTAACTTTTTATTCTCCATTTTGTAAAATTTGTTGGAGATGCTTACACAAACATTATTGCGTTAGCTCAACTAGCAATAAATCTTGGGTCTTTAGGTAGAGGTCACCGGTTCAAATTCTGTAAGGCTATTCGAGATTTTTATGATTGTTCTCTGAATTAGTTGAGGTATGCACAAGTTGGTCCGGAAAACATTTGTAAAAAATCATAGTTAAATGGATTTACGGGTTGTAGTGAATAGGGGTGTTCATGGGTTGGGTTGATCGAGTTGAAGATATTTGAACAACTCAATCTAATTCTTGCGGTTTTAAAAATCTTAACCCAATCCAACTCAAATCAAAGTGCAACCCAAACCAAACCGTACGGGTTGATCAGTTTGATATTTTGGTACATTAAAATACAACTTTAACCTTTAATATATTATTTATCTACTCACATTCAATTAATTTTCTCAATTTACATATATATGTTTACAGTTATTGAACGTATATACGAATAAGTTATATAGAGATGGATAATAGATTGAAAATATGTATATATGACGAGCGTACATGATAATGTAATTAATCTGTATATTAATATAAACTCAACAATCATATTAAATACAATAAATAAAAGAATATCAAGTTCACTAGGTTAGATTGGGTTCAAATAATACTAACCCGATAATTTACAACTCGATTAAACATCGGGTTACTTCGGATTGAATTATTTTACGTTGAGTTAGGTTGGATTGATCGGGTTGATCGAGTTTTTTAGCACTCCTAGTAGTAATATAAATTAAAGGTGAAATGGGCGAAAAGAGGTAAATCCTTTTTCATCGAGTTACTATAATTTACATCGATTCTTATACAAACAAAACCATATCTCTGTCAGTTTTCGATTGGATCAAAAATACCCTTGATTTAAATATATATATATATATATATATATATATATATATATATTCAAAATAACAATAAAGATTAAGAAAATAGTTTATTTAGGAAAACACGGTAGAATATAAAGTTCAGATGAAATATCGTGTGAGAATAAGAGTAAAAGTGAGAAGTATAAAGAGATTTGAACCCTTTATCACTTTTAATCTCACCCCACCCCATGAGTTGCGTTTGATACGGGAATTGATCAAAGTGCATCATATTATTGTTGATATTCAATTATGATTGATCAAATGGTGGAGACTGTTTCTTATCGTTCTCATCATAACTTCTATTATCATCGGGACTCAACTCATGAAAGACGAAAGATCATGTGAGGGTAGAAGTTATAGGGGTGAAATCAAATGAAAATCACAAAAATGCTATAAACCCGTGACAATCGGTTAAAATTTATTTTTTTGCATGATTTTTTTTCCATCAAACGTTAGATATTAAGATATTGTTTACATATACTTGTTTCATAATATCATAGTTTCACATGCATTTGTTTCACGTTGTGAAACTCTTTTTTGTAAATTTTTCGTTTCATTAAGTGAATCGGGAAAAAAAAAAGTTTCACATGGATTTTTTTCACCATATGAACACAAAAATTTGTGAAAATTATAGCTAAAATAATAGTATTTGATAAAAAAAATCATGTAAAAATATATATTATATCGGTTCCCACGTGTTTGTATCATTTTTGTGATTCTCATTTGATTATCATATATATATATATATAAGGTTAGGTTTCGTGAGAAAGAAAGTTATACGAGAAACTTAAGAAAAGATCTTTAAATTTTGATCAATTCTAATTGAATGTCAGCACTAATGAGGTGCACCCGATCAATTTTCTTTTTAAAGCGCAAGTCATTGATGGATATGAGATTAAGGGTCTGTTTACTTGTGGCTTAATGAGCTTACCAGATAAACGAGCTTATTTGCACAGCCATTTTAGGCTGTTTACTTCGAGCTTATTCGCCCAGACAGGGGCTTATTTGCACAGACCAATATCATCACTTGTCCACATTAAGCCTACAAAAAAGACCTGCCTACCCTTGTTAAACCCACGCTCTCTTTTCTCCTTCGACAGGTTTGCTCTTCTCCTCCAAAACCCTTGTAAAAAATGAAAGGATCCGGGAGACAATTTCAGCTCCTCTCTTGGAAGTTGGAAGAATCAATGGCGAAGAGAAGGCTCGCTCTCCTTCCCAACCTCAGAGGCGCACTTTCTTCTCCCTCTTCAATCTCTAGTCCAAAGTTCGTTTCTTCCAACTCAAACAATGGTGGTGTAGAATCTCATGATACCGACGAACAACTCAGAAAACTTCACGTACTGTGCAATCAGCGGTTAAGATGGGGAACTTGAGACGGGGTATGGAATTGATGGATTGCATGAAGAATAATGGTAGGATGAGCGTTAGTAAGTTTGTGTATAATGTTTTGATCGGTGGGATGTGTAAAGAGAAGAGGGTGATGGATGCACGAAAGCTGTTCGATGAAATGCTTGAGAGGGATGTGGTGACACAGAAATGGCCCTCTTGACAATGGAAAAAATGAAATCCCACGGGTTGAATCCCAGTTGCAGCACTTTCAATTTTATGATCAACCAGTATTGTCAATCTGGTAATCTTATTGAAGAAATGGAAAGTTATGGCTTAAATCCAAATTCCAGAAGTTATGGCTCTCTAAACAGCCCATAGTTAATACTCAGTGGTAAATTGGTCATTTATGTTATTCAGACTGTTGATTCAGGTAGAAAAGTAAACAGCAACCCAAATTTATCCAGACAGCCAAATTTATCCAGACAGACAAATTTATCCATACAGGACTTAATAGAAAATTTGGTAAACAGCCCCTAAAGTGATTAAGGGTTCAAATGTTTTCTTACGTTTCTCGTGATAACGTTCTTTCTAACATGACACTTCGTATATGGTGTGTGTGTGTGTGTGTGTGTATATATATATATATATATATATATATAGGGAATATTCAAGGGAAAACTGAGTTGTTTGTGGTAACTGTGAGAACCAATATTAACCACAAATCAATAGATAAATTAGGAAATTTATAAATTTGGTAATTTTAAATTAAAATTTTAATGTAAGGATATTTTTGGTATTTAAAACTCTCCTCTCTTCTCTCTCCGGCCACCATTCTCCGGCCTCCGGCCACCGTCCTCCGGTGATATCACTGTGATACCTAAAAATATTGACTCTGTTAAACAAAAGATACATTGTGATATCTAATCATATATAAGATGCATAGTGATACCACTGTGTTACATCTTCGATCGACCACATAAACGACATCAATGTGATACCCAAGCACATATATGATGCATTGTGATACATTGTAGTATCACTGGAGGACAGTGGCCGGAGAGAGAAGAGAGGAAGGAGGAAAGTTTTAAAATACCAAAAATATCATTGCATTAATATTTTAATTCAAAATTACCAAAATTATAAATTTCCTAATTTATCTATTGATTTGTGGTTAATATTGGTTTTCACAGTTATCATAAACTAATTAGTTCTCATTTGATTTGGCCATATATATATATATATATATATATATATATATATATATATATAATAAAAGCAAGGTTACGCGGAGAATCTATGGTGTTAAAAGCGAGTATTTGAATAATAATTTACATTACCTTCCAATGTCATTGGTCAAAGTGGTCATGTGTCGGTTCCCCAAGTCGCCATTTTTGTCTTTTTAATCTTTTACTTTTTTTTTATAATTTAAATATAATTAATCTGCTTTTTTTTAATTCATTATTAACCATATACTATAATGAATATGCCGACACACAAAAAAAAAAAAATATATATATATATATATATATAGAGAGAGAGAGAGAGAGAGAGGGGGGTGAGTTATCATACAATCATTTACATTTGTACAACCAATACAACTCAATCTCAATCGTCCATTTAATTTGATTAATATGTGATTTCATAGAAGTTTTGATTGTTTCCTAATATAAAGTATTGATCATAATTAATAAACTATATTCATCTTCCATAAATATTCAAATCATAATAAATGAACTCTTATCATGTTCATAAATATCTCAATTTATTGGGTTGCATTGGTTATACAAATGCGATAGGTTGCATTTGAAACGAACTCTCTCTCTCTTTTTCTATATATATATATATATATATATATATATACACACACACACACACACACATATATATATATATATAGATAGAGAGAGTTGAGTTTATGTAAGATCTGTAAGATCATTTTTTTACATTTGAAACTTCACAGCAAAATGTTGTGAAGGTGAAAAAAAAGGAACCTTCACAGCAAAAATATTTTGAAAGTTACTTTCACAACGTTTTGCTGTGAAGTTTCAAGTGTAAAAAATTGATCTTACGAGTCTCTTAAATAAGTTGGCTTTACGTGATCTCAAATCTCTCTCTATATACACATCTCTCTCTCTCTCTCTCTCTATATATATATATATATCACGTGAAAAAATAAAATATTATTAGAATTTATACAAGTTCTTTAAGTGTAATGATGGTTATGCTTTATAACATCATAGAAAATAGGGTTTTTCCCAATGTGTTTTAACGCATGATTTTAAATAATTATTTTATTTAATAATTATTTTCAAAATAAATTTCACGACTTAAATAATCAGACTTGATACTAAATACTTGTATAGTGTAAAGTTAAAACAACAAAGTTAAATATCATGAGAAATATAAGAAATGAAGATTCATATGTGAATAATTAAAAAAATTCATTTGAATATGCATATGTGAATTAATATAAATAATTTCTAACACTTGTTCGTATATGCATTTACATGTAGATTTTTTTAATGATTTATATATGAAAAAACTAGACAGTCGAACCGACTCAGGCAGTTAAAATACATAAGTTTACAGTCATCTTCAAATATCATCATTTTGGTGTGACAATAGATGTGATTATTTATAATTTTTAAAAATTGTAACAAATGCAAATTCATTTATGAATAGAGTGCAACAAATGAATGCATAGGGTACAAGTAATGGTCCAAATTGATGAATGGTGAAAAGAAAAAGGACCAAAATGTAAAGAATGAAAAAGTAGTGAAAAATAATGATGACTTTGAAGAGAAAAAAAAGAAAAGGAAGAAGGGAGAAGTTGTGCTTTCTTTATTAGTTGGGTAAGGAATCATTTTTCAAATATTGCCCCTTTACCAAACTTCTTTACTAACAAGTTACCTCCAAATTATCATACCAAAAGAAACAATACAACTTTACTTTATATATATATATATATATATATATATATATATATATATATTATCATACCAAAGGAAACAACACAACACAACTTTATATATATATATATATATATATAGGGTTGGGTTCACGTGAGACCAAAGGTTTTTCGTGAGATCCTTAAGACCAATTTATGTTCATTGATCAAATTTATGAATTAATGATCTAATGGTTGCAAAGTTGCAAGGCGGCAATTTCGTAATTAGTGAGAAGTCTCGTGGCGTTTATAAATGTTCAGATCTGACGATTGTAAATCTAATCCAAGGGTTGAGAATTGGTCTTACGGGTCTCACGAAAAACCATTGGTCTCACATGATCTCAAGTGTATATATATATATATATATATAGGTCAATTCAAGAAAGAACTGATTAGTTTGTGATAACTGAATCTCAATCACAAATCAATGGATAAACTAGGAAATTAATATTTTTGGTAATTTGACTTAAAATTATAATTAAAGGGCATTTTAGGTATTTTAAATTTTTATCTCTCCTCTTTTTCTCTCTCTCTCTCTCTCTTACCTCTAGCCTCCGAGAAACACTATGTGATACCCAAATACACCAAGATTCACAATGTGATACTCAAAATACATATAATGTGATACTCAAAATGTATACAATGTGATACCTAAAACACCAAGATTCACAATGTGATATCCAAAATGCATACACTGTGATACCCAAAACACCCCAAGTAAACTTTGAGAAATGGTGTGATACCAACTGTGGTACCATTGTGATACCAGGTGTCGGTAATGCTCACAGGTTGGGTGTTTAGTGGTCGATCATCGGAGACGGAGTCTTGGTCAGACAAGATAACTGGAGAAGGTCACCGGAGTGGTGGTGGGTGCCGGAAAAGGACACCGGATTTGGTCCTTGTGTGTGTGTATATACATATATTAAAATAATTAAACTAATTAAAGTAAATTGGAATATTAAACTAATTGAAGTAAATTGAATAATCAACACAATTTTACTATTTTACCCTTTGTTTTTTTAGTAAATAACATTAATTATCTAAAATGATTGACTCATATTGGACCTCACAGTTACCACAAACTATCTAGTTCTCATTTGATTAGGCCCCTATATATATATATATATATATATATATGTATGGTTGGATTCACGTGAGATCAAGGGTTTTTCATGAGACCCGTGAGACTAATTTATGTTCATTTATCAACTTAATAAGCTAATGATCTAATGATCTAAGGTTGTACAGTGACAATTTTGTGATTATTGAGAAGTCTCGTGGCAATTTTATGATTATGAATGTTAGATTATAGATCTAATTCATGGGTTGATAATTGGTCTTACGGGTCTCACGAAAAACCATTGGTCTCACATGATCTCATGTCTATATAAACACCTAGAAGTAACTCACGAATAAAATTTTGTAACATCTTATTAAAATACCATAAAATTATCTTCCACATAAAAATTATCTATTTGTCCTTCATCATTAAATCAAACATTTGAAGTAATCTGTACTAAATAATTAATATTATTTGTTCAATAAGCTTATAAACTTAACACCATATTCTTGGTTAACAATTTTTTACCCATATATATATATATATATATATATATATACATTTATTTATTTCACATGCTTATAAATAAGAATACGGGTAAACTATAAATTTGATCACTATGGTTTGTCAAAAAATAACACTATTTATCCCTGTAATTTTGAATTACTAAACGGTTATCATGGTTTGTAAAAACATTCGAATTTAGTCCTTCAATCTAATGATTGTTAAAGATTTCCTTTAAATAAGGGGCATTTGCGTCCTTTTATTGATATTTTTGTCTTTTACCCGATCAAAGTTTATTTTATTATTTGGTACTTGTGGTTTTTTATTGATTAAATGACAAAAGAAAAGTTGAAAATACTCCCCATTTAATGAATTTTTTTAACAGCTATTAAAGAAATGGATCAAATCCGTATGTTTTTTACAAACCATGTTAAACTGATAATGATAGGCATCTGTTTACATTTTATCGTCTTCTTTTTTCTTCTGGATGTTGGTTTCTGATAAAATTCTTTATCTCCTTTTTCTTTTTTGTTCTTTTTTGACTTTTCATACCGCAACATGAATAGACTAGAATATGGTGTTGTCGTATTTGAAATACTGCAGTTTTCCCATATCACGTTTGTTACAGAAGATCACAGCATTCGTCTTATATACAAGGGCAGATCAAATTTGAACTGAGAAAACGTTGAGAATCGTAGAAATTGGTTTCACATTATTGTTATAGATGTGAAACATACAGTGTTTGTTTCATATATGAAATAGAAATTTGTGTTTTGTATATAAAAGAAAACGTATGTATTTATATATGAAACACACATATGAATAATATTATCAATGCACGAGGCCCGGGATTTTCAGTCTTTCCAAGTATGTTTTCAGCACTGTTATAAATAACATGACGGGGCAATGACGTTTTTCAAGGTGTGACTTATAGCGTCAAATATGTATATACACATATCTGTGTATTTCAGTATGCTGAACTCTGATAATTAATAAATTCAATTTTATAAAACTATAAACAAAAGAAGGATCATGCAGTGATAATTTGATAAAAAAAAATATACAAAGTCTACAAAAATGATATCCAGGAATCATAACAAAAATAATGTTTTACTAATGTTTCCATAAGACTCGGGATCATGTGAGACTAGTTTGTTTTCGTGAGATTCATGAGACCACTTTTTTACACTTGAAATTTCACAGCAAAACATTGTGAAGGTAACTTTCACAGTGTTTTTGGTGTGAAGGTTCGGTTTTTTTTTTTACCTTCACAGCGTTTTACTACTTTTTTTTGTAAGTGTAAAATAGTGGTCTCATGGGTCTTACGAAAACATGTTGGTCTCACGTGAATCCAACTCAGTTCCGTAATCCATATCTAGTATGGTTGGCCTGAAATGTCACAAATGGTATCAGCAGGAACCGGAGTGGTGTGCCAGCGAACACACTGGGTTCCCAAAGGGGTGAATTGTAAGATCCCACATCGGTTGAGTAGGAAACTAAAATTGTTTTATAAAAGACTAGATACATTCTCTATCAGACGTGTTTTAAACCCGTGAGTCAAAATGTGTGAACAGAACGAATAATAACGGATACGGTTGATTTAGAACGTTACAATCAATATTGGTTATTATGGTTATTTATAATTTTTATGACTCCCATTTGATCCTATATCTTATGTGACCATGTACACTGGCACTAAAGATAACATACACTTACACCTTTGTCTAAAAACTATTTTGTATGTTTTTAGTAATACGATAATATATAATTATTGATAAAATAATTAAAATATCATATAAATTGAAATTGGGCTTTTATTCTTAAATATAACGTCTTAACTGGGCTTCCTTGACGGGCTTAATGGTATCAGCCCATTACCATGTGCCGTACAGACGACTGAACGAGCAATCCAATCTTCCTAATAAATTTTTTAAACCAAAAAAGATAGAGACTGTTATTTATTTTTGTTTTATATTGTTTTTTGAAGTAAATAATATTAAAAAAAAACTTGAAGTTTTAGAAAATTTTCTAAAAGGCAAATGACATGAAAAAGTAACGGATTTTAACTTGATTTTTATTTTGGGTAACGTACTTTTAAAACTTCCATTTTGGTACATAGAATGTAAAGTTTTAAACATTTAAGTATCCGGGTAACTAGTTGAAACATAATTTTCCGTCCCTGTTCTGTTTCTACTTTCCTCCCTTTCCTTTCATTTATTTCGTAAAAAAAGTTTCGAGAATACATTGTTAGTTTATGAAACAATTGAATATTTGTGGAACCAGATGTTCATTAGGTTAGATAGACGATTAAGATTGGTTTTTATGGTTTATAAAAATTCGAATATTTTTTTAAAAACAAAAATTCAGTAATTTGTATTTGAAACTCCAGACACACACACTAGTCGTGTATCCGTGCAATATAACAAGATGTAACTTTTATCGTATACAGGGGTGGACCCATATATGTTCGAGCGGGATTCTGCACACGCTCAACTTACTTTCGCAAGTAGGAATTTTTTGAGGTATGAAAGGTGTACCTGTTAAACCTTGAAGATACTTTGGATATTAGAAAATATAAGTAACATCGACAAAAAAAAAAACAAAAAAGTACCTCGATATCAGCCAAAAAACTTAAAAAATCTCTTGAAACAATGGAATTCAGCTAAAAACACATCAGACAACTTTACGGACMTTTGATCCATCGTAAAGATGCATCTGCTCGGTAAAGCATGAATCCACCAGTGATCATATATTAATAACTGAAAATTAATGCAATTCCTTATTAAAAAAAATACGAAATGTTTGAATTATTCCACCTTGTAGTAGGACCCAACATTTATTCTTCATTTAAATATTATTATTGGTTGGTTTTATAATATTCAAATGTGGAATTTTAAAAAGTTATACGTAAATACGTATGCAGAAATAAGCTGTAAAATATATAAATAAACGATAATTAGAGGTTCTTTGTTTAACTCTTAATAGTTCAATTAAGAGGCAACATTTGAATCGTTAAGAAGTGAATCTTGTTTGACAAATTTTTTTTGTCTCTTAATGATTCTAAAATCATCTGAATGATTTTGTATCATGTGTATCCCTTAACCATTCAGCACCATAATTTTACTATAAACAATTATATTTCATTTTTTATAATATTATGAGAGTCTTTTAATCATTCTCGTTACTTAATCGTTCTGTACGAAACCATTCAACAACTGTCAAACAACCCCTTAATGTTATCTAATTTTGTTAATTTTTTTTTACAGATGCTTTATAATAATAATAATACTATCTGTATGTATATGTTTGTACTTATCTTTATTGAGAAAAAAAATTAATATATATATATATATATATATATATATATATTAGATTGGGTGAGAAAATTCAACCATATAATAAAACATGATTTTAATAAAATTGAGGAAAATGACATTAAGATTTTATAATCCCAAATTGGCATATTTTAAATTTGCACATCACAAGTAAACTAAGGGTTGTATTGGAAACTTGCAACCCAACATTTAATTGTGATTTCCAAATTTACCCATGTTTTTTCGCGGTAAGAAGGGGTAAAGAAAATGCTTCGAGCCAATATTCGGAATTTACCCGACAAATAATTTCATTACCTCAGGACTATTACAGTTACGACAGTCATTCACCAAGAGACCTACGCCCGATAAAAACTGTCTATCTGAGACTATCCCTAAATTTGAACCAAAAGTAACAAAAAAAATCGTTAAATAAGTATAGCGTATATCGAACAAAAAATACTAATTTTTTATCGACCCAGAGTCGACTTTTGACGGTTGGCACTGTAATACAGTTTTAGTGTGAATGTCAACAAAAACCAATCAACTACAGGAAAAAACATTGATTTATAACTGTCTAACTGATATAAGATAAGAAAAAAAAGACTGATGTTGAAAAATGTCAAATTTTGGTGTCCAACTCAAAACGGCTAATTAATAAAGTTGGTACTGTTTCGGTATGTCCGAGGAAATTTCCAAGCATATTTTTAACATTAAAGGTACTGTTGACTTTGAAAAGTCTTTTTTCAAGTATTTTTCTAAATTATCGTATATTATAAATAGTCTATTCTTGTTGTATAATGATCGTGACTCTGAGAATTCAGGGATCAAGATTTCAAATCTTTTCAACATGGTATCGCCATCTCTAGTTGATATCATCGATAAAGCGATATTTTGCAACACTGTATATGCATTAGCATATACTGATTCAGATCAAAAATGGCTAATACGGAAACACTTACTTTCTCTTCATCAAGAATTTTCGTCGTTGTATCCTAAAGTCGGTACGTTTATCCACAATGATGGAACCATGGTGCACCTATTGAAAGCCGAGGGTTACCTTAATGTCTCTCACCTGTTGCCTTTGGTTCATGTAACCATTTGGGTCCATGAATATTATCCTCATGTCGCCCCCATGGTTCAGGTGACATCAGACCCAACTATCCCAATTCGTTCGAACCACCCATTTGTAGATCCTTCAGGTGTTACCACCTCGTCATATCTCTACATGTGGGGTCCATCTGGGTACGACTTGTTAGGTCTTGCATATAATTTGGTAAAATTATTTTCATTAGATCATCCATTTCATTTTGTTAGTTCCCCGAGCATATCTCACCCCTCTTACGTGTCCAAAATGGAGGGCATGGATCGACTTTGGTGGATGCTTCACTATGACATGATCGCGTTGAGGGAAAGCATAAACGACGAGGTACAGAATCTTACTACGCTTCAAGCTGAAATGAAGGTGCGTGTCAACATCACGACCGACATGATCATTGGATTGGACCATGAAAAAACTGATCTAAAGCAAATAGTAAAAGAAATGACGGATGAGACTGACGTGCTAATAAGTTGGTTGGCAGTCAATAAGGTAAATTTAAGTGTGGCGATGGGGGGAAAACTCGAGGATGCGTTTGAATGTGTGGATGATGACTCGAAATGGGCGTTGGAATTGTTGGCTGAAGACAAAGCTTTGGAGGATTCGATGTATGCACTCGATAAGGCTCTTGACGATGGGGTTGTGGCCTCCGAAGCTTATTTTAGACAAGTTCGGAGCTTGGCAAGAGACCAGTTCTTAACCAGAGCCAAACTCGTGAAGTTAAAGGGTCCTCAAGTGTTCAAGTTTCTCTATTAATCTATTAGAGATGCAAAAGGCCCGGACGTTTTTAGGACTGAGCCATGGCCTTCCATATCCGTTTTCAGTATGCTAACAAATAGCTCATGTTCTTTTTTTGGGTTGGGATTGAGCTTTTTTATGTATCTATAATCGTTATGTTAGACACATACTTTTCCAAGTAATGTAAAATTCTCGTGGATTTGCATAACCTAACTGTCTGAGCATCTCACTGTATCGATCTCAGAACCATCATGGGCGAGGTAAATCGTGGTGTCACAGGGCAGGGTGGATGGGTCTGTATTTGAACCCAAGGCCTTATTCTGAAAACTCTACCCCTTATCTGTTGATAAAGTTTAACAGATACATGTAAGGTTAAATTAGTTACAAGTTATTACTCTACTTGGTTACTTAGAGTTCAAGAATCGTCTTCACTTTCTACAGGGGTTCGCTTAGTATATTGACCTTTTCTTCGTAACTTAAAGACGGATTTTATAAACAAATATGCCATTTCTAAATTGGTTTTAAATGAAAGCTACTTATTTTAATTAACTGTATAATAATCAATAGAACTCAAATACATTTTTAAAGATACAACGATATGACTCGTGACCCACTTGACACTAAACACAATAGAATGAGAATATAAAATTAAGAGCTTGTTTGTTTACCTCTTAATAGTTACATCAAGAAACAATATCTGAATCGTTAAGAAGTGAATTTTGTTTGGCAAAAGAAAGCCCGTTTTTTAATGGTTCTAAAACCCTCTGAATGATTTTTTATCATGAGCCTACCTTAACCATTCAACGCACTAATTTCGTTGTAAACAATTATATTTCATTTCCCATTATATCATGAGAGTCTCTTAATCATTTTGTATCAAACCATTTAACAACGGACAACACAGCTCCTAAGTGCATTGCGCTAGCATATCAACTGTAACTAGATTTTATATTTTGACGCAAAATCTTAACATTTATGTCATAATTAGCCATAACAATCGGAACAGGTGATAAGTATGTTTGACTTGTTTAATTTTTAATTAAAAAAAAATATAGAAACCGATACTAATCTATACTATATTATAAAGCATTTGACAAAAACTCTTAAAAACCATTTTTTATGCACGGAGTACTGTATATTGATGCATATTACTTAAAATTCAAGATTACTAGTAAATTATGCATTAGTACAACTTATTAACGCTCCATGTTAGTATTCATGTAACTAACTATGGATAAAAATAATCTAATAGAGGATAAACATCTCATTTTAAAATATAAAAAATCTAAAATATAATTAGGATAATTATCGAGTTCTAACAACATAATTAACTATTATCTTTATAAAAAAATTATATTACTAAACCAAATATAAATTATTTCGTTATTGAACTTAAATTAAATTAAAATTAAAAAATTACACAAATATATATTTTATTCAAAAATAAAAACATCATCACTTTTTCAAAATCATGAGACCATATTATAACATCGATTGAGATAAAAAAATAAAATCAAGATGTATCTCGCTGCATTGTGCGAGTACCCTTCTAGTTAATATAAATACGTCAAGTTGTATGCTCGATTGATGTTCGTTTAAACCAATCTAAAGATCTGTATTTGTTCGAACTCGTTCACGAGGAAATAGATAACCGAGACATATATCTTAAATGGATAATTTTGACTTATAATTAAATCAATAAAATTAAAGTCAAAGCTTGTAAGAAAAAAAAAATTTAATTTATACATTAAAATCAACCTAAATTGAAAAAATATATACAAAATTAAATTCATTTAAATTTAATGTTCGAAAGTTAATACTTTAACACTGTATTTTAAGATCATGGTGAAACAGTTCCGTCTACAATGACAGCTGTTTACCATCCAATGAAATTCAAGGACGAAACAGGTATCATGACGGAGGAAGCATAAATCAGTTCATTGACAACGAGAAATTGATGAAATCGCTTGTTGTGGGTGTGAGTGTCAACGCGACGACATCGAAACAAAGGAAGAAGTTGACAAAAACGAATATTTACATTAACGTTAATATAAGGGTATAACAATGAAGTTTGTTGTGGTGGTTGACCCGACTATTCACGGAATATGAGAAAGTAGATGATTTCGTAAGAAATCGACAATTTTTTGGGAATCCTACAAAAATGACAGATGGACATAATTTCATTTGGGTTCGAATCCTACCGAGAGGTCAGAAATGACAAGTCTATTTAATAATTACGTATTTATAAAATACTGTATCAATTCATCCTATTTTATCAGATTTGGGATGTGATATGGTTCCGAAGGAACCAAATATGCAGGCAGTGGACAGTGACAGATCTTTTAAATAAGGGGTTTCCGACTCGACCCTAACAGAAAAAGAAAATTCCTTCCCTAACCAATCGTGCCAGCAACCTTGCTGACAGTTTTGGATCGGTCACTGGATGTAGGAATATCGAAACCAACAAATATTTAAATATTTATGTAAACTAAATAAAAATAAGAGCAAAATGCGTGAAATAACAACCTATTTTTACAATTTTTTTTAGTATAGCTATTACTTTCGGTTTTTATTATTACCGCAATGTATTTTCAAAATATTTTTTATTAGGGTATCGTACTTTCAAAAATTTACCTGTTATAGCATTAGGTAATCTTTTAAATTAAATTTACCCGTTATAACATGTTTTTTTACCACCTCATCGTCCACATAGATTGTCCACATGTATGATAATGCTAACATAACATTTATTATTATAGCATTGTATTTTCAAAATTACTTTATTATGATATCATCAAATTCTATTACAAGATTGTATTTTTATTTTTAATATTTTTATCATTTAAACATTATAAATTTAATCTAATATATTTATTGAATATTGTGAAGAATTTGAAAATCAGTTTCAAAAATTTTGTTCCAACCGTCGATTGGTACCAAATTCGTAATTAATTCGAAAATCGTAGGCAGATGTTTCAGCCATGGATTCTCTGAATCTTCGTATATCTGTTGAAATTAGCCCTAATTTTCTTTCAAAACCCTGATCGATAAATCCCACCAAATTTGAATTCAATCACTTCTGATTGAAATTAGCCCTGATGTTCTTGCAAAACCCTAATCGATAAATCCAACCATAATTGAATTATATCGTCTTTCTTGTACAACTGTGCAGTGAGTTGAAGGATTTGAATTTTGAACAGCCATGGATGCACATTCGTCTCACTTAACGGCACCGCTCCGATCACGTAGCTCACAGTCTCCGTCGCCGTCGCACTCCGCATCCGCTTCTGCTTCCGCCACCTCTTCCATCCACAAACGGAAGCTTAGCGCGCCTGAAGACCACGCGCCTCCATTCCCTTCCTCCTTCTCCGACACTCGCGATGGCGCGCTTACCTCCAATGACGATCTCGAGAGCATCAGTGCGCGCGGCGGTGCTGACTCCGATGACTCTGAAGAATTCGAGGACGTCGTTGATGATGACGAGGAAGAATACGACGATTCTTCGATGAGGAACTTTACTGCCTCCCGTTTGGAGAATAATGTGGGACCCGCGGGGCGAAACACGAAGCCAAAGACGGAAAATCCGGTGAAGGTTGAACCTAGTGAAGTAGGGAAAGACGGTGTCGCTGGGGCGGTTGGATCGGCGGCTGCTTCAACTCCAGCTTCGGTTCCGGGAATTGTGGTGAAGGAGGATACAGTCAAAAGTATATTTACGGAGAATTTGCAGACCAGCGGAGCTTATTGTGCGAGAGAAGAGAGTTTAAAAAGAGAGGTAAATACAATTCTGAAGTTCTGATTTCTGTACAAGTGGAATGTTACTTCTAACCACCTCGCCAGACAATGAATTATCAATACCTTTTGCTTTTGATATATCTTATAGTTGTAGATTTAGTTAGCAAGTTTTTGATATATGCAGGAGGAAGCGGACAAACTCAAGTTTGTATGTGTATCAAATGATGGTAACGATCAACATATGATTTGGTATACATTTCTCCCCTTACTTGCATACTGTAACTTTTTTCCCATTGTTAGGGCAAGTACCTTTAATATAGCTAAACCAGATACTCCAACCTCCTGAAGCTAGTTCATAACATTAAAGTACTAATATGATGCCTGCCATTTGTGGGATTGGACCCTAATCCAAGCTCGTCAACTATGCAAGTTCATAGCACTGGCAAGCTTTTCCAATCTTTCAAGATTATATTTACACAAGGAAAGCTTGATGGTACGACTAAAGAAGTACAATGCCTTGTTTTGTAAAATAGATAATTTGCACTGATCTCCTCTGCCATTTCTCTAGATAGCCAATTCACCAGACCAACCGGTTGACACAGAGCCTGAAGAAATAGTATGAAACCTTATTCAAATCATCAAGTGTACCCATAAGTCCTCCAAATTTTCAGGAAGTTGATTGGTCATCTGTTATTCACGAGAGAGATGTCTAGTTAGCTCACATAGAAGGGCTAGCAGGGAAGTGGGAACCATCTTGAATAAAGCCATGCATGACAAAGTGGAGCATCTTTTGCTGCATGTTCCATTGTATGTCATGAACTCAAGAAATCCAAACAATCACCTGCAACTATGTTGTGATAGGAAATCAGGAATGAGATTCCATTCTAGAAGAGGTAGTGTGCACTGGAGCATGATCACAGTGTGACACTCAATCCTTTTAATGAAATGATAGAGATATTTGCGGGATACCCAGATTGTTTGAATTTTACTAGAGAAGATATATTAATTACTGAGGTTGAGATAGTGAGTACGGAGTTCAATCATGCGATGCCTCTCTGAATCTTTAACTAGTGGTCAATGGTTCTGTATGTAAATTGTGAAATAATGCATGTAGGAATGTACTCATTCAAATAAAAGACCTTCTAATATATGTAGTGTGCTCTGTAAACTAGTAAAAGATTGAGAAACAAATATTGTTTTAATTGTACATCTATTGTGTTTCTGGCAGGTTAATTGGACTGAAAAATATATTTGCGAGGCAACTACCTAACATGCCTAAGGAATACATTGTTCGTCTTGTGATGGATAGGTATGCTGTAAGCAATGCATTATGTTTTCTTCTTAGGAAATAAGTGTGGTAACTTGAGTTACATATAGGGTGCTTTTGGTATCCAGGATTAAACAAATGTTCAACATTTGGTAAGACAGAATTGGACACGACATAACAAATAATATGGCCAATTTACCCCTAATGAGTTGTTTATATCTTTTATATATTTTGATTAATTTATGTAATTTATTAAACATAATAAAATAAATATTTTATAACAAAATATATAATTAGGAAACTTTTGTCAAGACGATCAAAATGACACCAAAATAAAAAGTGAATGTAGTTTCCTATTTTTATATTATACATTTTCTACATTATTTTATTATTGTTAATATTTGATAAATTACATAAATTAACCAAAAATATAGAAGGCATATAAAAACAATATTTTGAGGACAGTAAGGTGAAAGTTTAAATAGCATAAAATACGATAAATAAAATTTAAAAAATGAATAATATGTAAAGTGGGAGACGTATTTGATGTTTTAGAAGAGAATTAGGTATTATTTTGAGTTTATATTGGTAAAGTTTAAGTCTGTTCCACCTTGTTCCATGGGGTGGGGATAGAACACACCTGTTCCACTTAAAAGTCCTGCCAAACATGGAACAATGATCCTTGTTCAGTCTATCCTGTCTTGTCCAGTGTACTAAATGCACCCTTATGGAGGGAGACAATTCCAAACCGAAAATCGTAAACTTGGTTGGTGCTGACTGATTAGAAGAAATGCTTGTGTAAGATTACAAATAAAACAGAAAGGTGTTAGGTGTTGAAAACTGGGGCTTCGTTTTGCATTTAGACTTTAATGTACCTGTTTTGTGTTTTATTGAACATGATGGGACTCATGGGAGTTTAAGGGAATACATATAAACTGATTATCTTAATAAAACAGAAAATATTCTCCAAGGGTTTGTTTGTTATATTTGACTCATAAGCTAAATCATTCTAAGCTGCTGGATTTTGTCTGTCTGAGCTTTGTGTGGTTCTAACATGATTGCTTTTCATTTTATTTGTAGTAATATTTGAACTCAGGGTGTACCCTAAATAACAATCAAAATTACATATGATGCAGAGGCCACAAATCCGTAATGGTCGTCAGGCGCAATACAGTTGTTGGTGGCATTACATACCGCCCTTATGTCAGGTAGAAACGCTATATGTCTGACATGATTTACTTTGTTTTCTACTTGGAAGGATCACATCCTGGAAAGATATTTTGTTGGTTAGATTCCTTTTTGGTTGCTTATGTACCTAGTCTTTATTGGTTGTATATTCTTCTGTCATCTGTATATATAGTAATGGGCTATGAAAGGTAAACTACTTGTTTCCACCGATAAGATTTTTCTTTCTTCTTTTTGAGGCTATAAGTTGTTAAAAGCGTACTTGAGGCGCCCCTAGGCTCTGAGGCTCATAAAGCTGGAGGTCTTCGGCTTTTAAAGTCGAGGTTAGGCGTATTCATGAGGCTCAGGAAGGCCCTGTGTCTTGGCTGAGGCACCTTGTGGGCCTAGGCACGTCTCATAAAGAGTTATTAAATAGCTAGTCAAAACCCTAATATTAAATAAGTTTTCTCATCTTCTTATCTCCTAGGATTCTGAAAAAGGAATTAAATAGATGATAAGATAACCCTAATAGTAAATATCCAGTTTTTTAAAACTTCAAGCCTCTTTCTCTATGAATACCCAGACCTTAAAACTTCTCCCTCACGGTTCACGCTTTAAACCCTTCTCCCTTTATCCAAGTACTGTTGGTTGTTGCACTGGAGGCTTGTACTTGCCACATATTTGAGTTGTGTGTAACTGTGTGTGTGTGTTTGTGTATACATATATACACTTTTTTATAATACGCGCCTCACGCCTGGGCCCGGGACCCTTTTGCGCCTAAGTGTGCCTCAACCCTTTAACAACTTTAGTCCAGCCAATTTTGCAAGTTATATTCTTATATTGTCTTCATAGTAAAATTTCCTTATATCTCATTGAATTCTTTTCATAATTCAATCGATTCTTCTTCTCTCCTGCCATAAGTTCGTGCAATATCCCTCTGTGCTTTAGTTGTGAGTGTAATATGGTACTTCGATAAGTTGTAGTGGTGTATTTCTGAGGTTTAGATATCAAGTTGGCATATCTCCCACTAGAGATCAAATGACGTGCATTTATTTACTGTCTGATTTTGCTTTTACTCTCTTTGACTTTGTTCTTTATTGTCTATGTGACATGTTAGTCAAAGGTTTGGAGAGATAGCTTTTTGTGCAATCACCTCGGATGAGCAAGTAAAGGGTTATGGCACTAGACTGATGAATCATTTAAAGCAACATGCACGAGATGTGGACGGGCTTACGCATTTTCTGACATATGCTGACAATAATGCTGTTGGTTATTTTAATAAACAGGTTAGACATTTTTAGCTGCTTTGACGTATTCTTCTTTCCTAAGCAGACATGTCTGTTCAATTAATATGTTCCTTGCGTGCCTATTACTTTCTTCCACCAGACCCTTTTTGCATTGAATTGTTTTAAAGACAAGAACAAATGTTGCATAATGTTCTCTTTCTGCCCTGTAGGTGTAGCATGCTAACCTTGGGTGCATTTGGTATCCAGACATGATAGAACGGGGCAAAACTATTGTTCAGCGTTTGGTATATAGAATTTGGACAGGACAAAACAGATAAAATGACCAATTTACTCCTAATGAATTGTTTATATATTTTGATTAGTTATATAATTTTATTAAGTTATAATAATATAAATATGTTTTATAACAAAATATATAATTAGAAAGTCTTCGTCAAGACAATTAAAATAACACCAAAATATAAAGAGGAAGGCGTAATGACGTTTTAGAAGAGAATTAAGTTTTATGTTGAGGTTATATTGGTAACGTAAATCTGTTCCAGCTTGTTCCATGGGGTGGGGGTGGAACATGCCTGTTCCACTTTGTTCCTGTCTGTTCCACATAGAAGTCCTACCAAACGTGGAACAATGATCCCTATTCTGTGATGTCCTGTCCAATGTACCAAACACACCTTACCCTAAAGATTTTCATCTTCAGGCTTCTGTGGAGCTAATTAGTTTCTTCACTTCTGATAATTTGCATCATATGTTGGTCTCTCTGCTTGACGTTTTACTCTTTCTTGACCTCTGAACTTTATTTTGTGGGTCACCTTTAACTTAGTCTGGAAGTATCATTTTAGTGAACTAATTAAAAAGTCTGTTTATCCATTTGTAGGGCTTTACAAAAGATATTTTCTTGGAGAAAGAACGGTGGCATGGGTAAGTATATGTGAAAATTTAGAAGGCTCGCCTACTTTATTGGCTGTCTTAAAGTTCATATGTTGTCTCTTTATCTAAAGTATGTAGTGCTTCATATCTATCTCAGATACAGAAAAGATAACAGTTTTTCACTTACAATACAGTTTATATGTCAAGCCTCGTTCCCTAGGTATCGTCAACTATCTTTAATTTCTTCCTATGACTTGTATGCTAACTCAAAATTTCATAACCTACAACTTCTTAGGGGCAGTTTGGATGGTTTTTCATTTAGTCCTTTATGGATTAAGTTATCTATATGAATTAAGTTGTCCGTGTGAATTAAATTAAATGGTTGTTTGTTTGTTATGCTGAATGAACTGTCTGGATGATATAATTGACCGATTTACCCTTTATTATTTGTTTTTTGTTTTTCATTAAACCTGTATAACCGACATTTTATCAAACATCGTATGTGCATTCAATGTATACTAACAACTCAACTCGGAACGAAAAGAAATCAGACAACATAAAAACACTAATAACATAACCCAATGCCAAAGAAACACTAATAACATAACCCAATGCCAAAGAAACACTAATAACATAACCCAAAACCAAACAACACTAATAACATAACCCAAAACCATAGTTGTTAAAAGCGGGCCTGAGGCGCGCCTAGGCTCTGAGGCTTGTAAGGCTCAAGGTCTTGGGCTTTTTCCAAGTCGAGGCTCAGCGTATTCACAAGGCTCACAAAGGCATTGCGCCTTGGCTGAGGCGCCTTGTGGCCCTAGGTGCGCCTCATAAAAAGTTATTAAATACCTAGTTAAACCCTAAGATTAAATAAGTTTTCTCATCTTCTCATCTCCTAGATTTCTTAAAAAGAGTGTTATTAAATACTCGGTCCTTAGAACTTGAAGCCTCCCTTATAAATACCCGGATCTTAAAACTTCTCCTTCATGGCTCACGTTTTTTAAACCCTTCACCTCTATCGAACTACTGTGGTTGCTGCGTTGGAGACTTCTTGTGTGTAATTGTGTGTGTGTGTATACTGATAAGATGTGCCTTGCATTCCTGAGGCCCGCGCCTCCTCGCGCCTAGGCCCCGAGACCCCTTTGCGCCTAAGTGCGGCTTGAGCCTTTAACAACTTTGCCCAAAACAAAAAAAAAACGCTAATGACATAGCCCAAAACCAAAAAAAACACTAATAACATAAACAAAAACCAAAAAAGATACTAATAACATAACCCAAAACCAAAAAACCACTAATAACATAACCCAAAACCAAAAGAACGTAGAGGTGAATTTCTTGAACAATTAACATCAATTTGGTTTCATGTTTATGCATACTAACAACTCAACAAAAACCTTACTGGGTTTTTTGACACATAAACATCACCGTCGGTTCCATATTCAGTGACCAACCTCAGTTAGAAAGGGAGCAATAATATTAAATAAGAAGGATTAAAAATGCTAATGATAAACATGGGCCACAAAACCTCAAGAATAAATCGTGAGTGAAGACTCATTATTTCTTCTTTGCTCTTCACCTGTTCAACCTAATCTTCAAACAATTTTCGTCTTCACTTCACCTCTTCAGTTACCAACAAACCTTTCACTTTCATCTTCTTCCCTGCTCTTCAACCCAATCTCTTGACAATTTTCATCTTCTTCACTTCATCTATTACGGTCTTCTTATCTTTTCAGAAAACCCCATTACCGGGATGCCACCGACAAGAATGCTTGCATTCTTTGTCAAGAATGCTTCTGGCCTGTTGGTTAATGATTATCTTGATCGAGAGGAGCAAACACTTTATCGAGAGGGATGGGATTTGATGAAAAAGGGAGAAGGGCAATAGGGGAAGAAATGACTCATTTAATGGCTGAAAGCAGAGGAGTTCATCTTTTTTGCTGAGTGAATAAGCTCTTTGTGAAAATCATTAAGTCACTTCCAAACATTTCAACATGGCTGACTGAATAAGCTAGAGGTCCCATTAAGCTCATTAAGGCTTTTCCAAACAACCCCTTACTTTCATTTCGTTGTAGTTCAATGCAGTAACATCATAAAATTACATATGCGGAAGCATTCTAACATTAGTTCAAATAGCCTCACATATATATGACAACTATCAAAAGAACTATAACTCTTCATGCTTGTCATTTTCATGCCTTACTCTGATATACTTGAGATACATACATGGAATACGTAAGCTTGAAGCTTAGTGAGCAGTTATGGTTTCATGAACAGAACATCTTTCATAAAACGTAAGTAAAACATAAGTAACATCAAACATTATACTCAGTACGAGATCTCGTATGTGCAGGTATGCCAAACTTTCATCAATAGGATCCTAGATCCCTAGGGTTATGCGAAAGGTCTTCCCTCTTAGGTCCTTTTGTATGATAGCCTCCATCACTATATTCCATCAGGGATTTAACATAACCACCCTTTCACACGCACAATAACTTTCATAGGTCACATGTATAACACATGCCGTTATCATGAATGCATCAAAAATATTTTCTTTTGCTATATAAACATATAGGCAACATGTCAAAACATCATTCCAAACTATCCATCATGCATAAAAACATTTATATAGCACAAATGTATTCCAATAAATCAGATAACAACATAACGTATTCACCTTGTTTATTTAACTTGAACTTGCTTACTTTCCTTTTTACATCCTACTTGTATATCAACTTGGCACCTTCAACTAGCATCACTTACCTCCTCAATCCTAACTTTTATTTTGGAGGTTTTCTACTTCTGATGATGGTTAAAAATACTATGTTGTTTGCTATTTATATGGAGGTAAAAGTTGCTTTGTAACTTGTAAGCTACTGGCCTGTTAGCTGTAAGCTACCTACTTGTAACTTAATCACCATGCTTAGAACATCATTCTTCTCATTACTGAAATACTGAAATCAGAGTGTTGTAAGTTGAAACTTGTAACATTATATCTGCCCGTAATAGTTCTCTAGATCTGTTTTCATATTCTCTTCTTTACTTCATGACGTTAGTGACAATCTTCTTGTTTTTAGGTATATAAAAGATTATGATGGAGGGATCCTTATGGAATGTAAAATCGATCCAAAGCTTCCATATACTGATTTGTCAACCATGATCCACCGGCAGAGGCAGGTAAAAGTCATTGAATGTGAACTGGGCTGCTGTACGTTACCTCTGTAGGAAACATCCCGGTGGCAGTTTGGTTCATAAATCTTATTCTTCAAAATTTTGGGGGTCCCATGTCTATCCCATTCTGGGTTTACCCAGAATTTTGTTAATATCTTTAAATTTTTTCTTAATTAATACGGTGAATGAATGTAGTTAAAGGAACACAAGACAACAGAAAAACATATTGATGAGTTCATTAATGAATGATCTTTTAATAGCTCGCCAGTACGTATAGTTATCTTTAAGAATCTTCGGTTGCATTTTGTCTTTCAGGCAATTGATGAGAAAATAAGAGAGCTCTCAAATTGTCACATTGTCTACCCTGGAATTGATTTCCAAAAGGTACACTTGATAGTCACTTGCCACTTTACCATCAGAAGCCATATTTATTTCTAGGAAGCAGTCATAACTTTCTTATGGATATAGATGCGTGTATGTATGTAAAGAATTGATATCATGTTTTCTTTTGGTTTGATGGTTGACCTGGTCTGCTGGTCATATAATTGAACCCATTTGCTCTTCTGTGCACTTCAGTTTTCTTGATAAAAGTTAAGCGCTAGATTCCTTCACCATTATCAAGTGATGAATAAATTGCCAGAAATCAAATATTCTGAATCCCCATTGGTTCTGACTTCTGACTGTAGGATGTTTGTGTGTGTGTATTCCTGACTTGTATGGTTAAGTTATATACCACTAAGGGGATGTCTGGTTGGTTTTTTATTAAGTCTTGTATGGATAAAGCTGTCTGTATGGATTAATTTGTTTGTATAGATTGGGAAGGTTTTTGTTTGGGAGGGTTTTTCATAGATGGAAGAAACGTGTTTTTTAATTGGGAGAAACAGGTTTGGAAAAAACTTGGCTTTCTGCATAAAGATCCCCTCTAAAAGCTTATTGAATAAGCAACTTCCTATATCATTAAGCCACTACCAAACAATCATGTATAACTGACTGAATAAGCTGCGAGTCTCATGTAGCTCATTAAGCCGTTAACAAACAGACCCTAAAAGAAGCAGCCCTTTTCATACAATCTACATTAGTTGCTGGATGGTGACTCATCCAAGCAGGATTCTTTTTTTTTAAAACATGGATCCTTATAAATGTATATGACTTACCTATATTTGTCATTTGGCCTGTAGGTACCCCCAAACATGTCTAGTTATTCATTTCATGGCTTACCAACTATACCTCTATATCATAACAATATCCTCCATGTTGAGCTTATCATTATAATATCCACCTTAAATTCTTCAAGAATTGATTACTTTAGGAAAGTTGATGTTCATCCACATTGCATGCTTTAGCTTCCATTTTTTTTTGTGTTTTATCTATACTATCGATGCCATTGAAAAAATAAGTTAAATGATTTAAATGCATTCAATCTTTTCATTTGTCAAGACAAGTCTACTACCCATAAGAAGGCAAAGAGGAAATGTAAGGTGCAAGGTGCCTTCAAAGTTCCACACGTTCATATATTTATTAAGGAGGTGCATGACATTAGAGATTATTGTCTGTCTTAAGATCAGAACTAAATCACACTGTATTCTTACCAAAGTTGTTAAAGGCTCAAGGCCCACTTAGGCGCAAAGGGGTCCCGGGGACTAGGCGTGAGGAGCGGGCCTCAGGAATGTGAGGCGCATCTTATAAAAAATAGCATATATATACACACATACAATTATAACAACTCAAATATCTAGCAAGTACTCTAGTGCAACAACCAGAAGGGAGAAGGGTTCATAGCGTGAGACATGAGGGAGTAGTTTTAAGGGTTTTGGTACTTATAGAGAAAGAGGCTTGAAGTTATAAGAACTGGGTACCTAATATTAGGTTTGACTTATATCATCTATTTAATAACCCCTTTTTTTAAGAAGCCCGGGAGATAAGAAGATGAGAAAACTTATTTAGTATTGGGGTTTGACTTGGTATAACTCTTTATGAGGCGCGCCTAGGCCCATAAGGCGCCTCGGGCAAGGCGCATGGGCCTTAGCAAGTCTCGTGAATACGCCTAGCTTGTACTTTAAAAAAGCCCAAGATCTTGAGTCTTATGAGCCTCAGAGCCTAAGTGGCACGCTTTTAACAACTGTGATTCTTACCAATGATGCAAATAAAATCTATATTATTTAGCTACTTGAGTGTACAAATCCTAGTACACCATGTCCACCTAACGAATGATAAAATAGTGGCTGTACTTGTGTCAAAATGAATTTTGCTGACGGTTTAGGTAGTAATCTTCTTCATATGCTGCATATTGTGTTCATGATATCCTCTCATCTCCCTACCTGATTTGCAACTTGCTTTCCAGAAAGAAGCTGGAATTCCAAAAAGGATCTTGAAACTTGAAGATATTCCTGGTTTTAGTAAGTTCTTTAGCCCCTGCTGTTTTAACAGTTCATTTAATGTGTGTCATAACGTTTTTGTTAGCCATGAAGTTTCTTGATCTTTTAGATTGAATTGAGTTTACTCTTTTGCATTTCTGGGTATCTTGTAGACATGAACAAAAATGCTTTGTTATTGAAATTTCTTAATTTTTGTTAATTTTCCTTTTATACATCTATTTTCTTATTATTTATTTTAGGATTTTTTAATTGATGGAATATAGAGGGTCATTTGAAAATGTCAAATAGCAATGTTTGTGCATCTGTAACCAAAGTTTTGATATTGACAATCAACACATGAAGAATTATGTTTTTTGGTCTAAAGGATAACCCTCTTAAGATACAAGAATTAGGGGCTGTCTGGTTGGTTTTCCATTAAGTTTTGTATGGATAAAGTTGTCTGTGTGGATTAATCTGTCTGTATAGAATGGGAAGGTTTTTGTTTTGAAGGGTTTTTTCATAGATGGAATGAGCATGTTTTTTAATTGGGAAGGGCAGGTTTGGAAAAAACTTGGTTTTCTGCATAAAGCTTCCCTTTAGAAGCTTACTAAATAAGCTACTCTATATCATTAAGCCACTACCAAACAGTCATGTATAGCTGACCGAATAAGTTGCGAGTTCCATTAAGCTTATTAAGCTGCTAACAAACAGGCCCTTAGATGCCATTTATCTTTCTGAATTTGAATATTGTACATCTTGTAGCTCTCATGCCGTTGCACTTTATGCGGTAATCAGATTTCTAAATGTTATTTTGAGTGGAGTTTATTTTTTTCCCTTTTCTTTTTGCTTTCTAAGAATTACTAACTGAAGTCGGATTGCAGGGGAAGCTGGGTGGACTCCTGATCAATGGGGACATTCTCGCTTTAAAATTGTGAATGCTTCTCCAGACGGTACCTCAAATCAAAAATTGACGGGTTTCATGCGATCAATTCTAAAGGCAAGTTCTCAAATAGAAAGTTTCCTTCTCTATATTATTTGAAAGCAATTTCTAAAGTGTTAGTCCCGCCATCCCCAAATGAATGTCCATATTTCTATTTTAGTTTGTCCCAAGATAAGTGTCAACTTTCAAAAGTGTCCACTTTTCGATTCTATTCTTAATTACGGGATGTAGGCATTCATTCCCTTTATTATTAAGGGTAAAATGGGTTGGGTTTTGGTGAAAATACGAGTTATGGTGAGAACGTGGGAACAAAACCTTCATATACATTTATATACCTTTAACTACCTTTATTTACCTATCTTTATCATCATGACCGAAACTTTAACAAATTCATGCACGTGAAAGTGATTACATGTATGTAAAAATTTGTGAAAGGTAACCACAAGGGTTGTGGTAGTGGTTGAGGTCCTGGAGGATCTGGTGGAATATCTCATTTGCCCAGGGTCCGATTCCAGGCGTACACAACAATTGTGGCTACTGAGTTTATCAGGGCTGATTTCTTACAGTTACAATTTTCCGGGATTAGTCCAGGCAGAGCATGGGACACCCTTCCAATTATTAATATTTTTTGTGAAAGTGACTAAAAGGGAAGATAAATCCATAAAGGTAGTTGAAGATAGTTGAAGGTAAATGAAGTTAGGTCAAAAAGTAACTTATCCAAAGGCTCATAATTGTTCTCACCATTCTCGCCATAACTGTTATTCTCACATGATTTCAAGTCAGGGTAAAATTGTCATTTAGTTAATTAAAAAATGTAAGAATTATACACTACTAAAGCTTTATGCCTTTTTCATCGTAGACATTTATTTTGGAATGGAAGGAGTAGTAGGGAAAGATCTTGATCAGCCACTGCCATCTTGACTTCTTGAGGCTGTTGTGGTGGTGCAAGAGACTGATCTTTAACATCATTCTTGCTGTGTGTCAATGTGTCTCTTCTGAATGCTATTCATACATCAGCACTTCATTTTTGTACTTCACAATCAATTGATCATCTTCTTTGATAAAAATAAGTAGGCAGGACAAACCCAAGGAATTCCTCAAGTTTGGACTTCTTTTTTTTCAAAATTTCGTGTGATTTAATGTGGAGTTTAGAGATATTGAACTAGGGGTGTTCACGGTTCGGTTTAGTTCGGTTAATAAGGAAAATTGTGAACGCACCGCATGAGGCAGATACCCGATTACCCGGACCTAAACCAAACTGTAGGTTGAACCGAACAGAAATAAGCGGTTATCGCTGTTTGGTTCACGGTTACCTGAATTTATAAAAGAAATATCATTTACAATATAAAAATGGTTCCGAAATCTAACATTCAAAACAATTACATAACAAATAAATAAAAATAATCAAAACGCTTCAAATTGAAATAAGTTTAATTGTTTAAAACATCCATTTTTCGGTGAATGCCGAGTCCATCATGACTTCATACCGCCAAATTTATCATCCACTCTAACGTTTGACAATAAAACGTAAAAAACTTTTACTCATTTACCTTTAGGTTAATAAATAAGTAAGTAATAGTACAAATATTAAAAATTATATATAAATTATATCCGGTTCGGTTTGGGTAACCGTGGGACCTAAAATCCAAAACCGAAACTGACCATGAGTACCTGGTTTTTTCTATTTTTGGATTTTTCAGTTATTGTTTTTTCGTAAACGGTTTGGCACGGTTTCCTGATTTTCCAGGTTTTTTAACACCCCTGTATTGAACATCCAAATTTTTTGTTGCTCTTCTAATTCATTCATGTGACAAGTGTTTTTCTAATCTGATCAAGAGAATTTGTTATGAGCAGGCAATGCATGACCACGGTGATGCGTGGCCTTTTAAAGAACCCGTTGATGTTCGGGACGTTCCAGACTATTATGACATCATTAGAGATCCAATGGGTAATTTCTATTCTATCCAAGTTTTACATTTCAACCACACATTTTATTTGTATATTCTGATTCTGGTCCCTAAATTTGTTTCTTTTGCAAATTCTGCTTGCTACCAAAGGGTCATTAGCCCAACGGTTCCCGGGTTACCAGTAGAGGTCCAACCTTTTAGGAGGTTAAGGATGAAGAGTGTGTGTGAGTATTTACCATTATAAATATTATTTACTATAAAAACATTCTGCTTGCTTTCTTTAGACACATTTGACATTACATTACTCATCCAGGGTAATAGTATCCACAAATTAGTATATCCCTGCGGGTCCCTTGAAGATTGCAACATTTTCCTTATGAGGATATTTTATGAAAATTGCAACATCTCTTTTCTTGGAATTTTTAATATAAAAGTTATTTATAGGATCAATATCTTGGTCATCTAATTTGGTGTTTTTGATGCGTGTCCACAAGATTCTAGTTTCTACAAAAGAGTATTCTAGATATTTAATTAACCAATAGTCTCTATTTAATTGCCTAAGGGGTTGTTTGGTTGGTTTTCAATTAAGTTCTGTATGGATGTTGTGGATTAATCTGTCTGTATAGATTGCGAAGGTTTTTGTTTGGAGGAGTTTTCTCATAGATGGAATGAGTATGTTCTGTAAGTGGGAGGGACAAGTTTGGAAAATCTTGGCTTTCTGCATAAAGCTCCTCCTAGAAACTTACTGAATAAGCCACTTTATATATCATTAAGTCACTACCAAACAGTCATGTATAGCTGATCGAATAAGTTGTGAGTCCCATGAAGCTCATTAAGCTGCTAACAAACATGCTCTAAGTGGATTTTTATTACCACTGAGAGAGTAACGTTATTTTACTCAAGTTTTTTCATGTTATTATTAAGATATGGGGAAACCTTAGATGGATTGTGTCTAGTCGATGTAGGACTCCAACAAGCCCCCTCAAACGGAGGCTAGACACCCCCTTGAGCGGAGACGCTTCCTGCAATGGAGACGTTTGCTTGAGCGGAGGCTCGGTTGAGAGTTTTGGGATCCGGGAAGTACTAAACACTGACTGATACCATTTTAGAATATGTGGAACCCCTAAAAATTCTCTTTATTATAGAGAAAAGGGATGATCCAACATATATAGAGATTAGATTGACCGTGTCTAGCTGATGTGGCAGTCCAACCGTTACAAAAAAAATCGTCATTTGATAACTTTAATCTTCATAGAAATCACTGATTCCAAGTGGTGAGAAAGCCATTATTCTGCTGGTTTTGAAGCTTTGGCTTACTGTTTTTGCAAATCAAACATCAATTTAACAACCTTGGAATGATTAATGGATGTTTAACTGATCATAGATCTCAAAACCATGTCGAGACGGGTGGAGTCCGAGCAATATTACGTAACACTCGAGATGTTCCTGGCTGATGCAAGGAGGATGTTTGCCAATGCTCGAACCTATAATTCGCCGGAAACTATTTACTTCAAATGTTCCACCAGGTATTCATTTCATTTCAGATCTTTCTATTTGTTGTTTGTAAGATGTGTGTGGGTCTTCACGGGAAACATCCACTCTACTCTTTGGGGTAAAGGACAATTCTGGATACCTTCCACCCTCGGATCTAGAGATGTACAAGGCCTGAGGCTTCCAAGCCCATATTTCAGTAAGCAACCTCAGCCAGGCTTTTGGGGTTGAAAGAGGGCCCAATTGGCTTTTTCAGGCCGCGCCTTTTGGGCTTATTCGGCATTAACCAGGTTTTGGAAAAAAGTAGGCCCGGGCTTACACTGTACGAATAGCATTTTCGCTGTAGTTTGAGCAGCAAGGTACATCTTGCACCTATGGGGGCGCTACAACTATCCAAGAATACACTCGAAACTAGGCCCGGGATTTTTCAGGCTGGAGCGGGTTCGGGCTTGGGCCTTTTTGTGCATCTCTACCCAACTACGTCCGGGCGGGGATATATTGGGCTCATGTGGTTTGGTTTGTGACTAAAGATTAACAAAAAGCCCGAACCCCAGGCCTAAAAGCTTGATCGGGCCAAGTTCTTTTTTCTTTCAAAATCCTGGAAATGCCCGGCCTGAAAAACTCAATTAGGCCTATTTTCATACTCAAAGCCTAGGCCCAAAAAATCCCGGGCTCTGTTGTTTTGCTTACAGAAAATGGGCATGGAACTTAGAAGGCCTGACCCAGGTCCGGAAAATCCCAGGCCTCGTGTATCTCTGCTTGTGACATCTGTGCGAGTGTGTTTTACACACACACGAGACATGTTTATACATCTTTTCCAGCATATCGTTCATTCCAACATCGCTTAAAAAGAGTTGAAACATATTATGCAGGCTAGAAGCCTTCTTCTCGACTAGAGTTCAGTCAGGTCTGCAATCCTTTCTGAAAATTCAGCAATAACAAGCGGAAATCGAAAGATCCATTGGTCCAATTACAATATCGTGTTTCTGGTATGTTTCTGTTATCTTGCAATGTATTAGATAAAGAACATAACTATAAATGCAGAGAGAAAGATTGGTCCTTGTGAGGGTAGACTGGTTTAGGTTTAGAAATGCACAAAAGATCGGGTTTAGGTTGACCAGTAGACCTGTTGGTCCAGATCAGTTTTTTATTAACCGGGTGTGTACGGTATGTTGGTCGAAACCAGGTAACTCCTACCCCATAATTTTCTAGTACTTAAAAAGACAGAAATTGGATCTGTTTTCTAGTCATCGTATTGTACTTTTAGTTTCGTTTTGCCGTTTACCAAACGCTTATTGGGAAAGCGCTTACCGGCAAGAAACATCACCCGCACTTACGTCATCGTGTAACATTCTTGGCCATCAAAATGGATCGTTGGTAAGCGTCTTAAACCTAACAAGTGCTTATTGGATAAGAGTCTTTTCCTTCACTTAACGGGTAAGATTTCTGGTAGTTGCCATGTTTCAATCGGTAAGGTAAGTGACATTGGTAAGCATTTTCCCAATAAGTATTTAGTAAACGGCTAGGCTAAAAAAGAATTGAATTATGTGAAGGTTGAACGTTTATAACCGTCGTATTTATATAAACCCCGTATTTTTGGCCGGTTTATGTGATAAAAGGGAAAATTCATTTCGTGAATCATGAGAACTGTCTATTCATGATGAATATATTTAAATATTTAAAAATGTTATTTATCACGAGTTTTTTGTTTTTTCATTCATGAATATTCATGTCATAAATATTTATCGTGGTATTCATTATGAATAATTGGTTCTCTTGGTTTTTAAACGATCATGTCCGTATGAAAAATGCCATTTTGTTATGAACCTCGTGTTAGGAATAGAGATGCATAAGACCTGAGATTCTTCAGACCTATATTAGGCCTTCCAAATCCATTTTCAGTAAAGAAAATAAAGAGCCTGGTTTTGATGAGTTTTGAGTATGAGAATAGGCGTAATCGGGCTTTTCATGTTTGGCTTTTCTAGGATTATGAAAAAATTTGGCCCGATCAAGCTTTTGGTCTTGATCTTGGCTTGAACTTGGGCTTCGAGATTTTTGTGCGTTTCCCGTCACAAGCCAAACCACATGAGCCCTGTATATTCCACCCGGAGATGGGATTTGGGTAGACATAAAAAAGAAGCCCAAGCCTGATGCTTAGTCCAGCCCCGACCTGAAAAAGCCCGAGACTAGTAAGCTTGAGCCTTGGTATGATCGACAAGCCCGTTCATGCCAACCTTTTCTCAAGGCCCGTTTAAATCCGGCATAAACAAACCAAAAAGCTCTACCTGACCTGAGTAAGCAAAAAAAAGTCGGGCCTTTTTCGGGCCCTAACCACCTTTGGGGTTGAAAGGGGGCCCTTTATGTTTAATGAAAAACGGACCTGGAAGGCTCGGACAGATACGAGATATCAAGACTTGGTATAAAAATACTATTTCCTTTAGTTTATAAAATTGAAATATTTTATTTTGTCATGTATCTTGATAAAATGTCTTTAAATTGATTATTAAATTCTAGAAACTGTCTTTTTTTCCTTGAAGAAATTGAGAATACTTGTAAAGCAGGGGACTTTTACCAAAACACTTATCCGGGTAAGCGTTTATCAAGTGGCATTACCTTACTGGATAAATATGACAAGGACCAAAAATCTTACCCAGTAAGAGCGAAGGCAAAGACGAGAGTCTTACCCGGTAAGTGAGGACGATTACTCTTACCATGGTTAGCGTTTATAGTTAAATTGTTGCATACAATACCATTTTGGTGGACTAAAATCTTACCCGATAAATAAGTAACAGAGTTAAATTTTACAAATAAGTACTTACCCGAATAAGTATTTGGTAAACAGTCTCTTAATTTTTATCAAGATCTTATAATAATTGTTAACAACCAAACATATATTTAATATTAAACAAAATTTTATATAAAAATGATGATACATTTAATCTCACTGATGGGAACAATAAAAAAGTGATCTCTCTTCTTTCTTGAATGTTTAGTTTATATAAATTTGAAAATTTTATTCTCTCATATTTTCTCTATTTTGGAGAAGATTTAAAAGAATTTGTTGAAGATAAAAATACTGAAATCTTGATTTTCTACGTTGCAGAGAATATGTTGCAAATGCTCTTATAGATTCTGATTTATACCATAAATAGAAAAATAAACTTCCCCTGGAATCTGTAAAAATAACTTAACCAAATTTTCTAAAGTACGATGTAATACTTCTATACGTCTGTTCTGGGTTTTTTTTGTTATCATTAGGAATATCCAAATCAAAATTGTGGAAGGCTTTGATCGTTTTCCGGCTAAATAAGCTCTGGTATTGTTCTTTGAGGGTATTGCATCGTTGTCATCAAATCCGAAATTAGTCTTTTTGATGCACGAGTTTCGTAATTGTTTGAATCTTTCTAATCCAAAACAAGACAAAACATATGTAATCATACAAAATCTAATAATAATGCTTTCTTTCATATCTGAATTGAAAAACAAACACCTTTGACGACTTTTGTAACAAGTTGGACACGACTTTTATAAAGAAAACCCATACTGTCTTTTCAGGAATAAACATTGAAAATACGTATCAAATTATATATGGGAACATATCATATAAAACTTGAATTGGGTTCAACTTAATTGAGTACACTTGTCATATAAAGCGAGTTTTTTTTCTTCTAATTATCGTATTTATCGTTTTTATTTGGATGGAATTATTGTAGCAGTTAAAAAACAAAAACACTGAAATATAATATTTAACCGGATTTTCTCTGGATAATTATAGGCTTTCGGGATAGCTTATGTGCATCGACCAATTCTTGAGGCGATCACGAATGACCTGAAGTTCTCGCAAGTGAACCTGCACAGATATAAGAGCTTTGATAACGTCTGGGTTCGAACTAAACATCTATGAAATTACAAAAATAATATTTGGAAATTTTACAAGAATAAATCAATTTCAGATAAGTTTGGTAAAAAGTTAAAGCAATTATTTTTGTTTTCAAATTCATTTTTTTTAGTGAAATGTAGTTTTCTTTTTCTATTATTCATAATTTATTTAAAACAAAAATAAATAAATAATGATTTAAATATTTTAAATTAAATTATTGTTAAATTGCAAAAGCTGCCTTTTCTTTTATTCAATGATCATTTATGTATGCACATATGAATGATCAAGTATCAAATCATAAAATTTATATATAGATCGGTAATTAAATACAAATCTAATCATTCAATAAATTTATATTTATACATAAAAAGAGACTTGGGATCACGTGAAACCAGTCTGTTTTTATGTGACCTGTAAGACCATTTTTTTATACTTGAAACTTTGCTATGAATGTTCGACTTCTTTTTACCTTCACAGCTTTTAGTTGTGAAGTTTTAAGTATAAAAAAAATTGTCTCATGAAAACATGTTAGTCTCACGTGAACCCACTCTTATATATATATATATATATATATATATATATATATATATATATAAGAGTGATCATATGAAAACCGCCCTCATTTGTGTAAACCGTGCAAACCACC